GCTGGACACTGTCTGCACCATATGACATGCCTCCACATATGTTGAGCCACTGATTAGACAGTCGTCCAAATAAGGGAGTATTGTCACACCCGTCCTGCGTAAATGAGCCGCCACTAAGGCTATAGTTTTGGTGAAGACCCGGGGGGCGCACGCCAATCCGAATGGTAGAACCCGGTACTGAAAATGTTCGTTCCCTAATTGGAATTGAAGAAAACGTCTGTGAGCCACGTAAATAGCAACGTGGAAATAAGCATCCTGCAGGTCGAGGACTGCAAGCCAAACTCCCTTGTTCAACGACGGAATGATAGTTGATAAGGTCACCATCTTGAATCGGCATTTTCGAAGGTGGCGGTTTAACCTTCGAAGGTCTAAGATGGGTCTCCAGCCTCCCGATTTCTTCGGAGTGAGAAAATATTGGGAATAAAAGCCTCTTCCCCAAAATTGTTTGGGTACTCTCTCTATTGCCCCGATTGCGATTAAGCGAAGAACTTCTTGTTTCAGCAGTTGCTCGTGAGAAGGGTCCCTGAAAAGGGACAGGGTGGGTGGGGTGAAAGGGGGAATGGAGAGAAAAGGAATTGAGAGGCCGTACTTCACCACTTCTAGTACCCATCTGTCTGTGGTGATGTTGGACCACTGGTGGTGATATGATTTCAGTCGAAGGTGGAAGAGATGAGGAGTTTCGTTTTCTGCATTGATCAAGGAAAGCGTGCTTGCAACCTCGACGGGGAAGTCAAATCTGCTGTTTGGTTGAAGATTGATTGACTGAACGATTTTGTTGGGGCCGTTTCCACTGAGGACATTGCCTAAGACGCTGATTATCTGACATGCATGTCTGTTGCCTGGGAAAATTAAAATCGTACCTTCTCTGATAAGGGTAATAGCGCCTACGCTTAAAATTGGGCGTGTACATCCCCAGTGTACATAGGGTGGCACGAGAATCCTTGCCCGAATGGAGGACTTCGTCTGTATTTGCTGCGAACAGCTTAAGCTTATCAAAGGGGAGATCTTCAACTTTACTTTGCAGCTCCTTTGGTGCTCCCGCAAACGAAAGCCACGATGATCTCCTCATTGCGATACCCGTAGCCATGGCCTGCGCTGCTGTGTCGGCCACATCCATTGCAATCTGCAATGCAGTGCTACATGCTGCGTATCCTTCCTGTACTATCGCTTTTAGTAGAGTTTTCTTAGCGTCAGGAAGATGTTGTAATAATTCCGCTAGCTTTGAATAATTATCAAAATTGTGGTTTGATAAATGAGCCGAGTAGTTTGCAATACGTAATAGAAGTGTGGCTGAAGAATAGACCTTCCTACCAAATATATCCAACTTTTTATTGTCTTTATCAGGGAGCGCATTTTTGTACTGTGGTGCTTTGGTCTTTCGCTGTGCTGCGTCAACCACTAACGAATTGGGCTGAGGGTGATTGAATAGAAAATCTAGCCCCTTTTCCGGCACAAAGTATTTCTTGTCGGCCTTTTTACTGGTAGGAGTAACTGAAGTTGGCGTTTGCCATATCTCGTCCGCCACTTCCATGATTGCTTCGTCAATTGGTAAGGCGATCCTTGCACGCTGCTGTGGACGGAGGTTCTTTAAGAGACGGTGTGTCTTCACCGGAACATCTGCCAGCTGTATTTCCTGCGTGCCTGCTACTCGTTTAAACAGGTCTTGGAATTGTTTTAGATCGTCCGGTGGAGACAATTCACCTGGGTAGATTGCCTCATCCGGTGATGAAGATGCGCAATCCGCTGGAGAAATTTCTGGCTTGGGGTACTCTGTGTCAGACAGCAACCCTTCTTCCAGCTCGGACTGATCCTGTTGGACAGATTGGTTTGTCGATGGAGGAGGTGAGTTTAACTGTTGTGGTTGTTGAGGTAAGTATTGTGTGATTGGTGATCAGCAGTTGCATGATGATCCCCTATGTGAAGATAATATATGTTCACGGTGGGTACCGCCGTCGCACGAGCGATAGTAGTGCCCGTAGTAGCGCTCAGAACGTGACGGAGAAGAATGACGCGACGAACGTGCACTATTGTGTTGAATGTAATAGACGCGGTGTGGAGAACGTCTAGAGGACCCATATCTAGATGACCGACCCAGTGAACGAGATCGTGAACAAGATCGCTGTGCTTCTAGATATACTGTGTCTCTATAATCGCGCTGCCTGTATGCGACATGGATCGGAGAGACACTATAGTCTCGATACTGTGCACGCCTTGGTGGCGATGGAGATGGTCCTGGTGAGAAAACTGGGGAGGCAGATCTGTCCCTCCCATGAGTCTTTGATAGAGCTTTCCTAGGTATTGAGGCACTGTCAGTTTCCATGGCAACTGGGGAGCTCTGCACAGAGTGAAAACAGAGCGGTGCCGGGGAGATCAGCTGTAGCTGCTCTGCTGTCGGTGCCGATGAAGTGCTCGGTGCACCATGTCAGGAATGTGCACGGCTAGGTCCGGTGCCGTCACAAGAGGTGCCGCTGGAGCCCGCACCGCTGACGTTGATGCCTCTGAACCCGGCACCGGCTGGCTTGTCAGTTTCAGCGTTAGCGCTGCACCGCCAGCCGGCGAAGCTGAAGCCGGTGCCGCCGATGCCGGCACTGAAGCAGCCCGAGCCCTCGGCGTTTGCGATCCCCTATCACCGGGGTCAGTAGAGCAGCGGGACCCCGCGGGGGTCAATTTGGAGGCTGCC